GCCCATCTTACAAGCCTCTAGACTCTTGACCTTCATCTGAGAGGGACCCAAGGCGCGTTACCGCAAAGCAAACACCAATTTAGATTTTTTATATACTCCGTAACCACGGGTAAAATTAACGGATCAATAATGGACCACAACGTTTAGTCACTCACATGAACTTAAAACAGGAACACTGGCTAAAGATTGAGTCTTTGATTCGCACTCAAATGCTTGGAAACACAATTCTGTCTAGGAAACATGCAGCCAAAGCCATTGCCCAACCACCTGCCAACCTCGTGCCGTGCAAAGAGTGGTGGCTCACACGGCTCACACGGCGAGACATGATGTTTGCAAAAAGCGTGACAAGAATCCCCAAAGGCCCTGGTGGCAGGAAATTGCAATTGTTTGAGAGACAAGCTCTCCTCCCTGCGAAAGAGGGCGAGGAAACACAAATTGTAGAGTACATTTACATTCATTGGTGCATTCGATGCTGCCAAAGGGCTTGACTCAGCAGGGCCGAAGAGCTGTTTCGATCCATGGCAACAAGTTGCCAAGTGGCTGTCCTTTAAGCCTTCCGATGCTTTTCCGCTTCTTGGCGATTGCTTATCACTGATCACATTGCTTCGAGACTCGTCCTGATCTGCTACCTTGTCGCTTGCCCAAAACTCTGTGCAGGGCCAATGCTGCAACGAGTCTTCAGGTGTTGTTTTCATTTCTTGTTGGGTTCTCGTGTTAGATTTGGCTAGCTTGAGTCCAAATCCACAGACATGTGTTGTTGGGGGGTCATGCATCGTTTGCTTGATCTGGACCTTGCACATGTAGCAAATACCCCGGCTAGGGGGGCTACGCGCGCATCATATCGTCCCTGCTGTGACAACAGCTTCGGAGTATATTAGCATGCAGCGTCGTGTCGTGTCGTGTCCATGTCAGTGCTTCAACTCATGGAATCGCCATGGAAGAATTCACGACTGTCATTTGTTTCTGAAAATGATTGAACCACAAAGTTTACAACCCCATCGATTGTCAACCAGACCTTCTATGACTTCTACACTCTACACAATTCCATGACCCACGTCCGTGTGCGTCCGGTGCCATACCTGAAAGGTGGAGGTGGAATTCCGAATGGCACAATGAAAGCCAAGCCACGATCATAGCTGACTCAATGCTCATTTTTGCACAAACCAATATCTTTCAAAAGTCGCATGTCCAGGAAGGATGGCGTCTGCATTCTACACTGGTCTCTATCAACAGGCTGAAGCTCACCAATGAGGATTTGAAATGGTGCCAGCAGCGTGTCAAGCTTTCTGTCCGCTGCGGGACATCAGAAAGCGATCAAAGGAGAACAGTCCTGCAGCCATCACGAAATGCAAGAATAATGTTGGCAATGCCAACAAAACATCGCCCGTGTTTCATCCCTATGGAACATTATGGAATAATTGCCAGCATCCGTTGTGCACAAAATCATGCGGGGCATGCTCAACTGTGTCAAAACTGGCCCCCCTGCCTGCTATAAAGAGGCTGCTAACTAGCTGTCTGCAGCTTCCTTGGCATTCTCAGTCTTCACATCTTGCTTCAACTCATTGTCGGCTTAGCAGCGGACATTTGTTGCGACTACAAATTTCATTATTTACTGAATGCAATGCTCACACTGGCCCTGGTTTGAGCACAGCCGCCTCTGGGACTACTACCAACGTGGTTGTCAGGGTGGTCTCTGCGCTTGTGCTAGTGGTCGTTGTAGTTGTTGTCGTAGTTGTCGTTGTTGGACACGCCAAGGCATTGCATCCCTGTACCAGGGCGATGCAAAACGAACAATATTGAAAAAATGAAAACAAATATGACAAGGCCTGTCAAAACAGCATAAACGGGACTTCTGATGCTTGCCGTCAGTGCCTGCGTGTCAGTGCCGGAATTTCCGCACTCCTTCATGATGCAAGCAATGTGAAAGTAGGTAAGAGAGTTCCCGTCTGAATACCGCCCAACATGGGATGATGCTCCCTATGCAGGCTCATGATTCATGATGAGTCAAGCATCTCTTAGCATCTCCAACGTTACCTAGGCTCATCATAGTCCAAGCATCTCTGTAGGCCCAAGGTAACTAGATTTACAGTACAGCACTCAAATGTCTCACTTTCATTGGCCAAGTCTAATATGACAAGCGCTCCTGCCCACCATTTCTTGGCTTGATCAAAATTCCGCGATGTCTTGACCTGCCACGAATTGAGAGGCAAAGTGTTGTCCTGATCCATAGCTGATGCATGTCTCAATCCTCCATAGAAGCTTGGGCATCACAGTATTCAAAGGATCTGACCAACGACCCAGCACTGACACGACGAAATTGGATCAGAACAAATCAAAAGTGCCTACTGCCGCCGCCACAGCTGGCACTGCAAGAGCTCCAGGCAGACCACGCAGTCCATTGGCAGTCGATCTGTTCGGACAAAGGTGGTACAAGCAGCACAAGCGAAAGCCGAGGGTATACAAAATCTATATAAACATGTTTGATGCCGAAGAATCTACCAGGTTACCAGCTTTGTCAAAGTGACCATGACCTTTTATAGCCAGGAAATCAAAACGTCCCTTTGAAGAACCAGGTGCAGTAAAACACATCACGTACACAATTATTCAGCATCCACAACACCCTTCTGCTTCACGCACAACCATACAGAATTACAAACCATGTTCAAACAATGAGCATCCCATGTGTGCCAACAAGCTGTGAAGTCTGTGAGGGCCTTGCAAACATTGACACCTTTCTCTTGTTTGATCTCGTCCCTTGTTGCTCCACAAAAACCTCGGCAAAGCAAAACAATTGGGAGGATAACTTGCACAAGTTTGACAGTCAAAACTGACTTGTGCATGAGCACATGGAAAACGCCCTCTCAAGCACACAAAGCAATTGTGGCAAAGAACCAACAGCACCCCAACCAAGAGCCGCATCTCGAGAGTTGCAAGAAATCTGCCGGGCATTCATTCCTGTACCTCAAGGAGGAGATGAATCTAAGCCCCTTCTGACCCCTCACCACAACCCTCGGCTGCCCAGTTGGCACACCAACAAGTCTCAAGTGACCAACTACCAACTGATGTCCATTGCCTCTGAATGGGTGAATGTTCTCATCCTTGTCATCAAAAAAATATGTATTCTCTCTCCTCAGCTGTAGATCTGTTGTCATGCAACTCGCATCACAGCGCGGAATCTGAAACTACATACTCAGCATATGGCAAAACCCACCTCCCTTCAAACACATCAATCAAAACCACTCACAGGACCCTATCTCGAACAAGGATCAAAATGCACACCTCTTGCGAGGCGTACCTGCAGAATTCAGCAGCATGGGCATTTTTGTGTATCTTTGGTTGTTGCATGTTGTTTCGCGAAGTGCCACGTAACTGAGGCAAGTGCCATTCTAAAATGTCCCCCCACTGCATCTTGTTTCCGTGCATCTGGGTAAGCAACATAAAAGGGACTCCTCAGACCAAATGCAAGTAGAGGATTCTCGGTACACTCTGGATTGTGGAAAGACTTATCAACGCTCTAATGAGTTTAATGGCAACAAACGTCTGAGGTCATGACTTCAGCTTCATGTCCTCAGCAGCAAGGAGTCGGATCTTCCGATAGCCATGCATTCAGAGCCAAGGGGTGAAAGAAGCAAATTGCGCCAAGCAAGCATCACCAAGCGAATGTTGCACAGTTGCACATTATACATTAACTCATGTATGGCCATCTGTGGCCAATGGAGGGCACCCACCTAAAAAACCTACAAAAGCCCATCATGGGTCTAAACTCTACCAAGGATACCAAGGGACGGTGGATGTTTTTGCATGTTCGGAGCTACTGGGGGAGGTTCCAAGGTGTGTACGAGTCTTTTCGGATAGGGGGGTAGAAAATAGACATTATCCAAAAATAATTACAATAGCTGCAAGCTATAGGGATTCTTACTTCTCAACGACTCGATGGCTGATCGGCGTTTTGGTCCACCGCTGCCGCTGCTGCCTTGTCTCCCCACTTGGGAGCTCCCATGTTGCTTCTTTGGCTAACTGCTTCATTTTTTTGTCTCAGCTGCTTCTGTTTGTAGAGTTAGTTGCTATCCGGGTCTATGCCGGTGTAATTCTTGTTCTCTTCGGTGCTTCTGGTTCCAGAATATGTCTGAAAGGCGGTATCGCAACCCTAATTGTATTCATGAGGTGTGGTTCTCGATTGATGCACATATACTCTTGTTGGAAATTGTATGAAACCAACACTTCTTAGGAGTCATGGGGACACTATGAGACCTATCATTGCCATTCTCAGGAAATCGAGGGAAGCTCTACATATATATATATATATATATGTCAAGGGAAGGGAAACTGAAATTCGCTTTTAGGAAGCATATACACAGTTTTCAAGGGAATGTAGGAGGGGGAGGCGGGACATCCATAATCATCATATCATCGGCCAAGACCAAGAAAACTTGCATATATAGCAAATATTTATACATATGTATAAATTCAGTTGCCGGGAATGAACATCGGGAGACGAGGAAATATTAGTCCAATTTTGAGGAGTGAGATCCCCCTGTAACAATTTCATACAATTTCTTCACGGCAACTGAGTGACCTCCAAAAACGCAAACCTGTTAAGCTCCGTTTGGAGCTTTCTGTGCTTCCGTTCTGTTGGACTGAGTCGACTCATAAGTGGAGAGTGAGCCTACGGGCCTAGGATGAACGAGCCCAGGGTGGGGTCAGAATGATTTGCAATGAGTATTTTGATGACTCCCTCTTATTTGTCTCCCCATTTGTCCCTTACTTGTTCCTTTTTTTTCCTGAAGCTTCCCACAAGGGCAGGAGCTTGTTTGTCACTTATTGTTTTTTTCTTGGTTTGGCTAGGCTCATGTTGCAGTTATGACCACGTAAATATAGTTTATATAGATATAACTATATGTATATAAAGCTGAAGGCTGAAGCTCTTGGACTTTCACTTGAAACTGTTCAAGCCCAGTAGCACTCCAAGCAGCATTCCATGGCTTAAGTACCAAATGCTCCATGGCATTTGTCTTCAAAGCCTAAAACGTGCAGGACGCGCTCAGGAACAACGTCATGAATATTCCAGAACACACCAAAGTTTTGCAGTTTTGTTTGAGTCTTCGAACCAGCATTGATAGCCCCAAGTCTTCTTACAGGCGAAGTAGGGCAATGCGCACACAGACTAGCTTCTAACATGGCCGAGCGAGGCTGCTGGCTGCTGATGTGCAAATATGTGCTAATAACAATGCCAATGCCTGAACCCGCGCGCTCTCTCGCCCTTCGCACCTGCAAAAGTTCCTGACAAACCAGTCTTTTGGACAAGGTTGATAACAACAAAGCTAAAGTCAATGGCATGAGAATTGCAACCACTTTGCGGTCCGTAATTGTCCGGCCATGAAGTCAAACAAAGCCAACGTCTTGAAAATACAGTCGTTTTGATATGCTTGTTGGACACGCCCATGTCAAACATCTCCTATCCAAACTATGTCTGAATGTCACTTCATTGCAAATCTGTCCTTCCTCTCTCTGGAGAATGGACCACTGCCATCTCCGTGCGATACGATGCCGGTGTAGCATTTTGAGCAAAACGTTTCTGACAGTCCTCAAATCAGACTTCTGGCATTCTCGCCCGAAAGTAGAATCTGGTGAAATACACAAATCAAAGCTTCAACCTGTTACCTCTTTCTCATCTCCACTTGTACGGTCAGTCTGTCCTTCCCCGACCTTGAGCATTTCGCTCCTTGTATGTGTATATGATATGTAAAAAATATGTTGCATATTATTGCAAGTTGTTTGGAGCTTGAGCTCTCCCATGTGCTCCAAGGGCTTGGGCTGTCACACTTTTGACCTTGAGAGAAGGTTTGGCGTCACTTGCTCCGGCTCGAAGTTTATCAATGTTGTAACTTAGTAGATAATATCTACGATCTGTTTATATCTATTTCAAGATTTCCTAGGAGTTGTTCAGGACTGCTGAGTGGAGTTAAGGGCCCAGTGGACGAAGTTCATGCGAGACACCAAGAGCTGCAAGCTCCGATAGGACCAGGTCGCCTCCTCCGTAGGCCGTATCGATAACCTCGTCTGTGGCCTTGGAGTTAGGGCAATGCTCCTGGGCAACTACTAGACTAGCTACATACTCGCTGCCCATCGTTGCTGAACTGTTCCCTTCGCTCGAAAGCCTGACTCTCCGTGAAACAAGTCAATTCGAAGCTGTCCTGCATTCCCTGCTTAGAGGTCAGCGTCCGGTCGATGTCAAAGACGCACAAGCATGCTTCTGCAGATTCTTTCCCTACCTTACTCGACATTGGCATAAGGAAGCATGCCTTTGCTGCTTCAGGCTACGTATGCTGGGTTGCTTCTCTTGTTTCTCGGCTCCCTGCACCAAGTCATGCCAAGTCGCGCAGCTGAACGGCTCAGGGGCCGTGTGTTGGGGCACTGGTTTTTTTGCAAGAGACGCCGCATGGCTTGGGACACTTGTCTGGGTTGGATTGGTAGACCTTGCACTGAAACTCCAAAGGGCCTCACCACCCAAACAAACCAATGAGTGGAATGCTTTTCCAAAGCAAAAACTCGGAACAAACAACCTGGAGTTTCTACTAATTCGAGTCACACATGAAACTCCAGAAGCAAACCACAAAAACACAATGTGACTAATTGCAATCCATGAGTCTAGACTCAAACGAAAGACCAGGATACCATTCGGGATGCTCTTTGAGTCCTGTTTCTTTGGCCCAGGTCACCTCTTGCTGGCAATTGGCATTGTCAATGTCTTGCAAATCCTTGCAGTTGAAGGCTTCATCTAGCTCAGCACGACGAGCACGCCTCTGCAGTGCATATTGAGAGCAAGAACTTCCGGACTGCTTGCACTCATCATCTCGAAGCAAATTGTTCTCTTCGCTGTATCCGAATGAGGCTGCCAGTAAGCAAGCCACAATGACAGCACGCTCTCTCAAAGCCATCAGGGCCACCATCTCCCAAACACGCCCTACCAGGTATCAAGTGGCCTTTCAGCCTTGAGGGCGAAAAGGTAGCAGGATTCGTCATGATTTGTCAATCTCTGTTTTTTAATGATGCCTGCAGAATCTTGGAGCTATCTACTATGCAGTAGATGACAAATCTGCTAAGCTGCTAAAATAGGCTCTGGACAGTGCGCAAGTCTAGGTCTTGATCTAAGCTACAAGGCCACTTGTCTGCGTGCACTACGTGCATCTTTCCTTTTCTTTTAAGCAAGCACAAGCAAGCATGGCTATTCGAGTCCAAAGGGTTCTCGCTATGCTGACCTAGTCATCCTGGCCTTAAGAATCTGACCCCTATGGGCCTCTCGCAGCTGCAGCTGCCAAATCTTTCAGATTGAAAGAAGTGCCCGACCCTATCGCGCCAAACACCCCACCTGGTTTGGCTCATTTGCATCCGGACATTGCAATATTTGCACCTTTTTGTAGACATAACAATCTTGTCCTGTGGTCTCACCCGTGCTTCGCAAAGTGGATGGCCATTGATAGCCGAACTTTCCAAAGTGGGAGACCTCCAGTGACTCCAGTGTCGTCCTATCAGGACCTGACATCCTTCTGTGCTGGGAGCATCGATCTCCATCAGTCTCCTCTCTCTTTCTGACGGTAGGCTTCGAAGACAGCTTCAGTGACATGCTAAGTTTGGCAAGTTATTGTGTCATCCTAGGTCGGTTGGACATCTTCCTGCTCCAGGATTTCATTAGGCCAAATACGCATTTCTGGAAGACTTCGCAAGTGGCGGCTCAAACCAATGTCGATGCAAAGTCGCAAACCACGCCTTAAGGCCGTAGCGGGCATATATACTCTGCTCAAAACCACTGGAGGCACAAATCCCCCTGTTGTCATGTATTTTCTGAACCCGAGGTTCTTGAATCCAACAATCTGAACATAGACAGCCAGCAAAAACCATACAAACAAACATCAAAAACAAATATATGGATATATATATATAGCATATGTATCTCTGAAGGACGGTTCTAAGTACAAACCCTGACAACTCCCATAACAAGATCTCTGCCTTTCCCCTACCGAACAGCACCCTGGCCAAAGCCGAAACAATGATTTTTTTGCGAACACCATCCGTCTCATAGCATGCATCATTTCATTTGCACATTGACTCCACCCACAGCTTGTAGGCCACCTGTCATTGGCCATGAACAAATGAAGTGGGTGAAAAACATTAGATTTGATTGATTTAATACAATCTATTGATGTCGCCCTATTTTCCCGGTAAGAGAGAAACCCGACTCAAAATTCGTTCCTTTCAAGCTGCTGATCCAAAATCTGCTCACAATGATCCTCCACGATGCCATCCTCGATACCTTCTTCTTCCACCTTCAGAGACATTTGTTTAAGGCGTTTCCAACATCCACCTTCATTCCACAGGCGTTCTGTCAGTGAAAGTGCCCTTACGTTGTCCCAAACCCCCGGTAGGGGTGTCCATACAATCGTTAACGTTATAGGTGCTCGATCTCCCAGATTCAGCACCCATGTGTAGCGACTCCATTCAGACACCCACTACTATGTAGGCACAACGTCCTGAAGACGCTGTGGGGGACAACAACATGAACATGTGGATCACAATGGAATGTGTCATGCAAATGGTTTGCCCCAAAAAATCGTTGATTGAGGAATTGTTCCGTTTCGCCCCAACCAAAGCATCAGGTACGTGGACGTACAAACCATGCACGCAAACATCTTGGCCCCAGACCCACCACGCCCATAATGCAAGGGAAACCCCATACAAATGGACACCAGCCGTGAGACGTAAAAAATGAATATATAGCTAAGACATGGGAATGTTCACACCCAAATCTTGACGCGTCTCCCCAGTGCATCTGGACACACAGCAAATTCCGCACAGACTTGGCCAGAAGTGCTTGAAAACGAAAAAAATGCATTGCGGCGGCGGTGGGGCGGGACACCAGAAACAACACAAACACCATACTCATTGCAATTCTCATGAGGGGGACTTGGATGTCATTTTATAGATACAAGTGGACTCACCCCCCCTTAGGCAATATAGCTTAAAAACAAAGAACCTTTCGGCAGTTCATATGAAATGACCCCCCCCAACGTAAGCCTCTTGAGCATGTCTGGACAGCTAAGTTGCACACTTTTTTCCATCGGCATCCATCGTTATTTGTTTTTTGACCTTGTCTGTAACCCCTGATTCCCGCAATGCCACGCACGCCATTGGCGCAGGCTGAGAACATCATCTTTTGCATGACGTTTTTTTTCATGCGTTTTCTAGATCCCAAGAAAAAACCCTTCCCCAAACACTACAAAATCATTGTAGGTTTTTGTAACACCAAATTCTTGACTGCAAGACGGAAACACTGAGCACTGAACGCGTGGAAAATGTTGGAAGGAAAATCACAGAGCTGGGATCAAACTTTGGTGGCCCAGTGCATCCACTTGAAAGAAAGCACTTTCAATGAAAACAAGAACACTCAAAAGCATCTGCAACAACAGGAAACAATCTAAAGATGGATTATGAGGAGAACCACACTGGCATGAAATGTTCAGATGGAGTATTTTGAGTGAACATGTGTTTGGTCTGTTTGTTTGACCTGCGTGTGCTTTCCATGTCAGTCATGGTTGTTCTAAATCTAATGGATTCTATTGAATTATGCGATCTCGTTCCCGAAATGTCTTCGAGAGCTGCTACCCACTAAACTCACAGATATCCCGGAGCAGCCTCAACCATGCTGCCCTCACGGGAGTCTTGTCAGTGAGCTGTTTGCGAATTGTTTCGAAACGTTGAAACACGTATGCCGAGAAAGCTGGCGGTTTCTCCAGGCTGTGTGACCAATTTCTGGGCGGCAGCTGATGGAATCCTCAGATACTATGCAACATGCTGCTCATCTACAAAAAATATACTAAGTAGCACCAAAAGCTGCATCAAAAAAGCAACCCTGGGACTTGAGACGGCGGCGTCCAGATGACAAGTCAAATGCTGGACACTTGCTGAAAAGGTCCTGTCTAACTCCTGCGTCGCCTTCATTTGCTGGATGAAGTTCTGGGGTACTCGATGGGAGCGGCCGCTGGGTTCACTGCTGTCTTGCGCTCTGCCTTGGGCGCAAACACTTCTTGACAACACGAGATCTCTTGGCTGCGCGGGCAGCCGCTTTGAAGGTCCTGGCGCGGCGCTGCCTCGACTTCTGAACTTGTTGTCCTCCTTGATGGCGCCTGCAAGCCATTCACCCACCACCTGCTTCTGATCCGCAAGCACTGCTTCCTTTGAAGCCACTGTCAAATCCACATAAAAATTGTCGATGAGCTCACGGCTTCCTGTCGCCTCATGGCTTTCAAGTGTTTGTGCTCTATAAAATGGGTATACCAATGATTGCTTGGTTTGTTGGCTTGCTTTCTAACGTCAATACTCTTTTTTTGCTAGGTGGCGCTGGATGACCTAAAAGGTTTCTATAAGCTCTTGGGGTGTATATTCTCTCATTTTACAGTAGATAAATTTGACCCGTCCACCAAACAATAACTATACAAGACATATAAGACATTGAAAAACACGCTAAAACATGACATTGCTGAGCTTTTAGGATTTGGCTGTGTAGCCAGCTTTGCGCCAACATTTCCTGGGCAGGAATATGTGTACATGTGCGCGCCAGTGCCTTGGCTTGCACATGCTTGAGCTACCTTTGATTCACGCTGCACACCAGAGGCGCCACCTTCTCTGATGCGCCAAAAAAGTCGATGCAGTCCATAGAACGGACACCTGAGATTCATGTAGAATTTCGTTTTTGTGAGAGGTACTGTATTGTCTGGCTCAAGCCAGACAAATTCATAAAAAATATCTTATATATATATCTACAAATTTTGAACCACGGCGCTCTCCCAAGCCAGCAGCTCGACAAGCAAGGTGAGAAAGCGCATGTGCCCCTCAGCCTTAAACCACCTAGGCTGACACTTTCACTATACAATCGCGCGTCTGATCAATATAGAGGCGGCGACATCACTCGTTCCTGAATCTTGAGCGCGTCCAAAATATATTTATAGGGCTTTATTGGCTTCTGCCAGGTTGGGCCCGTGATTTTTATAGAGGCCACAACGTCGCAATCTAGATATTGTGTGGTTTGGTGAATCAAAAAAACATCTATGTTGAAAAGTCAGTTACGTTTACCATGGTGTGCCCATAACATCCAATTGTTATCCTTTGCTTACCCTTCTTCCAATCATCCCAACACATCCCAACTACTCCATATACAGCAAGGGTCTGCCTCTCAGAGATTGAGGTTGCAGTATCTTCTCACACTTTGCCGCTGACCATGGCTCCAGCTATGAGCGAAGTGGACAAGAACCTATTTTCCTACAATTGCTTGCGCGCGTGTTTCATGCATGTTCCAACCAGCGGGCCAACGGTCAAAATGACACAGATGTCAAAGAGTCAAAGGATATCAAAGGCAGCCTACCACGTGCTCCAAATTTCTCCACAGTTTGTGGGATGATGAACGGTCAACGATTCCGGCCTTCTTGGCTCCCTTCCGAGCTTTTGCCAAGCGTGAGATTTGCAGCGTCCAAGTCCATGCCTGCCTGAGACACTGCTCGTTAAACATTATTTGTTTGCGCAATCTCACTTTCAAAAATTACGAGTTCATTTTTCAATCTTGAGACCTCTTGATCACCCAAGGCACGTGCCGGGATCAAAGTAGCAATAATGCTATGATGGACGACCAGTAATCATCTGGCATCTGCTAACTTAGCGTGCTTCAGTAAAGGAAACTCTTCCAAGAAAAAGTGTGCAAATAGCAGACCTCTCAACACCACACCACAAAAACATTGGAAGCTGGTTGAAACATGCTCTACATGTTTTCATCATTTTGTATTTCATACCAAGAAGCCCCAAAACTGATGTTTGCGGTTCCAAGATGGTGCATCCATCTCGTCGATGCAGTTCCGGATGCCGCCCAAGAGCTTAGAAGGAACACCCTATGTTTATGACATAAAGCTGCCTGCTATGTCTGAAAAACCTTAAAATAGTTAATTTGGGAAA